AGAGCACGATAGGACTGATTCTATGGGGAGGTCATTTCAAATTGGCAACACAATTCAGTCTAAATGACTCATTCATAAGCAAATTAAACTTAGGGTAAGATCAACTAGCGCCAGCATGGCATAGTAGTTTGAGTGTTAGACTACAACTCTGGAGACCAGGGTTTGATTCCCAGCTCAGTCCTGAAACCCACTGGGTCACCTTGGGGAAGTCACATTCTCTCAGCCTCAGGGGAAAGCAATGGCAAACCTCCTCTGAACAAATCTTGCCAAGATAACCCCATGATAGGGTTGCCTTAGGGTCACTATAAGTTGGAAATGACTTGAAGGCACACAACAATCAACAAGATAAACCTTCACAATATCGTTGTAGCAGGTTTAAAAGAAGTAGCCATGTTAAAAGGAGGAAGGGAGAGGGAAGAGGAAAAAAGATTGTGGCAGCACCTTTTTGACTATTTTTTTTTTTTAGCATGAGCTTTTGTAGATATAAACCCACATCTTCAGTCGCAATAAAGAGTGATATTAAAGCCTCAGGTAATAAAGGATATTTATACAGTTGTGTGAGTGGGATGGGATGTAATAGGATCCATAAAGATGATTCAAATCATGATCCTCACCCTAAATTTCCAAAGGATTGCATAAGGTCTTTCGGATCTTTCCAATTGTCAATTGTGTGCGCATGTGTGCCTTTAAGCAGCATGGCATGTTGATTCATGAATTCATGGGGTTTTCTTAGGCAAGGAATACTCAAGAGGTGGGCTTGCCATTTCCTTCCTCTGAAATATAGCCTGGAATTCACTGCAGGGTGACCAGGACATGTTCTACACTCCAGCTTTCTGTGCAGGAGAAATTTAAAAATGCCCTTCATTTTAAGCAGGACTAAGAAGCACGCATTTATATTTGTATGATGGTTTTTAGCTTTTATTTGGTAATGGCCTACGTTATTCTTTGAATATCCTACATTTTGTGGTGCCTTTGCGGTTAGGATATCTGATTCACTTGTGATCTCTCATCCATGTACTAATCAGAGCTGACCCTGCTTAGCTTCCATGATCAGGCAAGATCCGGTGCCTTTAGGGTCAGTTAGTGCATATTTATTGCTTTTGCACATCAACATTGGCCTGGAGTTTCTTCAGAAACTTGTAGGATCCCATCTCCCTCCATTGTGAGAACTGAACATTTCCCCCCTGCCCTTTGCTTCCTTTTCATGAAACTGTTACCAATCCACAAAAGGGGTCACAATCACCAATTTTATTCAAATGCTCATTGCTCATAGTGGAGGAAGATGATAGAAAGATGCCCCACAGATGCTAATTTGGCCGAGCAGTATTTGGTAAGAGGTATGTCCAAATATTTTATTTTATTATGTTTGTCATATTATTTATCTTCATATTTTTTGCTAGCTACCCTGAGCACCTTTTGTTGGAAAGGCCGGATACTGCTGTAACAATAAACTAATACAGAAAAGGTGGGACCTTAATGAAATAGGGCTTCCTGGAGCTGTGAAAGTAAGCCACTTCTGCTGAATGACTAGCTTGCACATAATTTTCATTTTTAGCATACTCCTTCCGTCACCTGCAATAAAAATAACATTAGCCCAGCAAGGAGATTATCGCACGGTTCTTCAATAGCGGGATAGAAGCAGGATTGACACTGTAATCCATGGATTTTATTGTACCGCATTATGGCCAGGCAGTAGGTACTTCTGCCGTTGCTTTTAATTCATAGGAAAATCCCATGAATAGTTTTCATTCCCATAGTTAACCCATTCTTGAAGTATGTGCGATAGGTCATTCCGGGATAATTAGGAGACAAAGGGAACTTAAGGGGGGGTTGACTGCACCTCCCTTTCCCAATGAAAGCAACACTTCTTAGTGCTAAGGAGGCAACCCTTTCATCTGGGGCAGGAACAACGGGATTTAAAGGGGTCTGACTGCACCCCAACCCATGCCCAGGCAACCCTTTCAACCGAGGGAGGAACAATAGGATTTAAAGGGGTCTGACTTTACTTATCTAGGAGATTATTGCATAACAAAATAAATTGATTTACCCCTGGCATTTTCAAGACAAATGCGAAATGCAGCCAGGTAGTATCACATGGAAAATGCCGCCGATGCTGCCACCCAACTGCATCCCACCTAAAATCCAGCTAAAATCCACACTCAGCCAGCCAATTTGCAGAAATGGGACCTTCCCAACTGCAAATCGGCCAGCTGAGTGCAGATTTTAGCTGGGTTTTAGGTGGGATGCAGCCGGATGGCAGCATTGGCAGCATTTTCGCTGTAATAATATTTGGCTGTATCCCGTATTCATCTTGAAAATCGTAAATCAAGTTTGTTTGTTTGTTTTGTAATGGAATAATCTCCTTGATCTTGGATAGCTAACAATTAAATGGAATGGTAGTGTGATAAGATTCATGGGCAACCTATTATCAGTTTGCAATTGCATGGTAACATGATAAGAGTTGTTGCTGTTTCAGGTGTTCAAAAATCTGCAACAGCATCGGGAGGGAAGCAATAATCTCCTAAGTAAAGAGAACTTGAAATTGAGAAGTCCCTTAGTCTGTCCAAGAAATTGGGTAGGAAGGAAGACACGGGTTGGCACCTTCATCCTCTAGTCTAGTGGGAACAAGGGAGAGGGCCTTCTTGGTGGCTGCTCCCAGTCTCTATGGCCCCTCCCTGCTCTCTTTTCAGCAGCAGATAAAAACATTTTTATGCTGTCAGGCTTTCTAAATTGACAAGGTTTGAGCTTTCAAAGGCTGTGCAAGGTTTGTATATTGCATACAAGGTTTGTATATACAGTCGCCCCTCTATTTTCGCAGATTTGAGATCCGCGTCCCTTGCCCATTTGCAGGTGGCAAAGGGAGTGGTGCAAAATGGCAGCATGTACCCACGTGCCACAGGCACTTACTTGCACTATTATTTTAAATGGGACTCAAATATTCACGAGTCACCATTTCTGTGGGGGGGTGTGTGTGTGTCTGAAACAGATACCCCACAAATTTGGAAGGGCTACTGTGGTTTTAAATAAATTTTAATAGTTAATGCATCATTGCTTTTACTTTTTTATTTGTTGATTTTTTTAAAAAAAATCGTTGTTGTGTACCTTTAAGTCGTTCCTAACTTATGGCGCCCCTGATGCGAAGCTATCATGGGGGTTTCTTGGCAAGATTTGTTCAGAGGTTTGCCACAGCCTTCCCCTGAGGCTGAGAGTGTGTGACTTGCATGAGGTTTATGGCCAAGCTGAGAATTGAACACTGGTCTCTAGAGTTGTAGTCTGACACTCAAACCACTATGCCATGCTGGCTCCCATGGCTGTATCTTATGGGGTTCATTGTTTGAGAAGGCACTAGAGCTCTCAATTCTAAATTCTAAAATCCCAGGATTCCATAGGAAGTTGACTCAGCATTTAAAATGAAATCACACTGCAATAACTGAACAGTGCAAAGGAGCACAAGGTCATATGCACATCTCTTCCCATTTGATTACCTTTCACTCATACCTCCATCTAGGGTTTTTATTTTGTACACTTATTGTGCCTCATATGTATAATTTTATTGAAGGAGGTTCTCACAATATTGTCTTCCACATATAATCCTCCTCCCCTGTTTTCCCACCACTTCTGACTTTTCCCCCCCCCCTTTACCGTACGTGAATGTTAAGGAGTGAAAGGTGGAAGAAGAGCTGCACAATAAGTGCCTTTTCATCTGCAAAATCAACCCAGAAGCAACCATTATCTTTTCTTTTCTTTCTCTGGTTTTGTTGTTTTGGCTTGTTTTGCTTTGCTGTGTGAAAATGCAGACCTGAACAACTGGGTTGAAAATAACTTAAACAGCTTGAGGTTAACAAGTGCCAAGCCCTGACTACTATCTGTTGGTTGCTAAACTAAACTGTGAGAAATTCCTTTTCACCTCTACTTGATCTCCAATATGTGGGGCTGCGGGAACATTCACAAATTGACCCACCTCCGGTTGTGGGCAGAGCAATGCGAGGAGGCTTGTAGGTGTGGTGGTACATGGTAGATTATGATGATGACCACATGTGAGCTCCTTTTAAGCCTATTTTTGAGCAACACAAACACAGGCAATGTCACTCAACATGCAATCACATTTTCAGTGTTCTCTCTCTCTCTCTCCTTCCTTTCTTCCTCCTCCCTGTTAGCATACCTGATACACCCCATGCTGTATATGAGGCTTCTATATATTTATATCTGGAGCCAGGCATGTACTTAAGAAATCCCAATGACCTTTGGAACCCCAGGAGACTTTCCCATGGGAAGGACACATGGACCTGAAGACAAGTGAAGTACACAGGTAATACCAACATAAAAGCTGAATGGGTTTGCTGATCGCTCCATTGCTGCCACCCCCCCAAGGCTTTCAGCATATCATCTCATACTGAAAAGCGAGTAAGCCAACACTTCCTCCTGACCCCCAGCCATGTTCCCTATCCATCATTCCTGGGGTTGTCCAAATCCAATCATTGTTTTTGTTACTCCAAAGTTAAAGCCATTAGTCATTCTGGAATCCCATTGTTTCTTCCAAATGAAGACCATCAGACTTTTGTTACATTGCAAAGCAGCACCTTGTATCCTTCGAGGCTAGGATCTCATGTATAAATATCAGTCCCAAATCTAGCTCCCTGGTGTGCACAGAGAGATTATTTCACTTGCTGTGAAACCTTCAGGCATTGTCTGAGCCACACTCCACTTTCCATGGTCTCCTGTTCAAGAAAGAGAGATTTGTTGTTATGCACCTTCATGTCGTTTTCAACGTATGGTGACCCTAAGGTAAACTTATCATGGGGTTTTCTTGGCAAGTTTCTTCAGAAGGGTTTTGCCATTGCCATCCTCTGAGGCTGAGAGAGTGTGACTTGCTCAAGGTCACCCAGTGGGTTTACATGGCTGAGCAGGGATTCGAACCCTGGTCTCCAGAGTCATAGTCCAACATTTAAACACCATGCTGGCTCATAATGGCAAATAGCTTGGTGAAAGTATTTTCCCAATGTTCATCTGCTGTTTGTTTGTTTTTTAAATGGCAAATCCCAATTGGGGTATCATTAAGAAAGCTAGGATTCAAACCCTGGTCTTCAGAGTCATAATCTAATGCTCAAACCACTCCACTACACTGGGTCTGAGGTAAATATCACTCCTTTACAACCTGAAACCTCCACTATCCAATTTCCATCCCTCTGTTTCATTTAGTTGTGTATGGTGTGTCTGTCTGAACTGTTATCATGTGTTTAGTTGTACCCATGCATATTTCTAAATAAAAATCTTATTTATTCATCAAACCTGGAGTTCTCTATCAGTTAGTACTGGTATACTTAGATGGAAACAATCCTTAAGTTACTCAGCCTCTCGCAAGTTTCCTTTGAGCTCCCAAAAGCTTTTAAGATACTGACACAATTGGTGGGGACCCCCAATCCCCCCCAACCTTTTGGAGTAACACCCCATGACCTCATGTACTTCAACCTTGCCCAGTCCTATTGAATAAACCAGGAAATCTTCCATTTTTTGGTTTAATCAGTTGTGTTTATTCCAAATGCTTGTATGAATAGCATTGTAAACCTAACCTTCTCCATTCTAGGGTAAATATCAGTAGCTCCTTTGGCTTTTCCTTTCCTCGATCTTTTATAATATGTATGACTCCCCTTTTAATATTTTCCCAACTTATGGCATTTGTGAATTCTGATTTCCCAGGATTCAACCCAGCATTTTGAACGAAGGGTTATCACTGCCTAATTCTGGACTGTGATGCTGATGTGGATGCAGCTTTTAGAATCTAAAGTTTAGACCTTGCCAATATATTCCCTAGCGTCACACAAAGTATTTAGAGGAAGTGGTTTGCAAAGCAAGTTACCCCTCACCTTGTCCACATGCTTTTGATTTTTCTTTGTGATAAATATTACCTTTGTCCATTTCATAACCTTTCAGCCTGTCTATAAGTTGTTGTTGTTGTTGTTGTTGTTGTTGTGTGCCTCCAAGTCATTTTTGATTTATGGTGATCCTAACATTACCCTATCACAGGTTTTCTTGGCAAGTTTCTTCAGAGGGGGCTTGCTATTGCCATCCTTTGAGGCTAAGAGATAGACTTGCAAATAGAAAATATATATACCGTATATTAAAGAGGCAAGTAAAATATGTGTTATTTATTTTGTTCTGAAACTAGGTCTAATTTGTTATAAGATATAAACTGTATCATATGTATAAAATCAAACAATCAGACAACAATTACGTAATACAGAACTGTAAATGTCAATGTAAGAAAATCTATAGATGCAACAAAATTAATATTTCTTACATATTTTGCTTAATCTGATTGTTAATAAAAACTAAAGTTTTTTTTTAAAAAGAAACAGAGTGTGTGACTTGCTTGAGGTCACAAAGGTCCAAAACACACTGCAGAAATAATTTGTTTTGAGACCACTTTAGCTGCCCTGGTTCAGTGCTAAGGGGTCCTGGGAAATGTAGTTTATTGTGGCACCAGAGCTCTCTGACAGAGAAAGCTACATTACTGTTCAAAATTCTTCAAAAAGTCCTCCACCTATGAAGTTGACATGAGAGGTATGGAAGGAATTCTATGTAGTCCAGAAAACAAAACTACAGTCCCCAGAATTCCTTAGCTGAGCCAGGGAGGTTAAAGTGGTCTCAAACTGGATTATTTCTGCAGTGTGTTTTGGACCTCAGTGGGTTTTTATTCTTAACCTGCTCTCCAGAGTCCTAATCCAACACTCAGACTACTATGCCATGAGTGACAAAAATTATTGAGATGTTTGGCCTCTGGTTTTATGTGCCAAATTACATTGCAAAGGGGATGCATGTAGGGGAGTTGCAGACTGCCAGAAATAGTGCAAATTGAGTCCACTTTTAGGGTTAGGGTTAGTGCTAGGGAATCATGGGAACTGTATTTTATTGTGGCACCAGAGCTCTCTGACAGAGAAGGCTCAATGTGTCAGGAAAAAAACAATTCCCATGATTCCCTAGCACTAACCCTAACCCTAAAAGTGGACTCAATTTGCACTATTTCTGGCAGTCTGCAACCCCCCATAGTGCACAGACTGCAATTTTTAGAAGAATGGTGAACAGGGGTCCTTTCACACTATGCAGTTGTAGTGCTATGATTTGACTTTAACTGTCATGGCAACATCCTGGGGTGTGCACTTTAAGGAGAGACATTTAAAAGTCTTAGCAAGAGAGCTCTAGTGCCTTGCCAAATGACAAGCCCCTAAGACTGTAGAACAGGGGTCCCCAAACTTTTTGATCTGGGGGCCAGTTTGCTGGC